GCGTTTTTCCATGTAGTTGGGAAATAGCAGTTCGAAATGCAGGCATTAAATATATTGGATATTTGTTTAATTTTGTTGCATGGGAGTTTCTTCAGCATCAGGTTTGTTATCGAGTCTTGCCCCGGGGCTTTTTTGTTGTTTAGTTTACTAATTATCTTCCTATTTTCAGACTCATCCGTTGGGTTTGTTGAGTGAGGAATATTTTTATTACTGAAGTAATTTTGGTATTCATTATTTATCGAGGTCTCTGTGGTGATATCTCTGGGGTTGTTATTTGGGGTGAATTGTTCTTCTATAACGTTGGCGAAGATCTCAACTTTATCATTGTCAGTGTAGACTTTTCCGTTTCCTGAATTTAAAGGCATGTTGGTGGTTCTTTTCGTTTTTAGCGATTTGACCATATTCCATGCTGTGTTGTCTTGTGTATTCAGAGTATGTATTTTTTCGTCCCAGGTATCCTGTCTAAACTTTAAGAGATGTTTCTGAATCGTTTTCTGCATTCTGTTGATTTCTGCCTTGGTTTGGGGGTTCGGGTTCCTGTTATAATCCTTTCTCAGTCGATTTTTAATTTTAATTTCTTCCCTGATATTTTTTGGGATGAATTTGTATTCTTCTTTAATTTTAATCTCTTCTGTGGACTCTTGCAATGCATATTGGATGTCCTTAGTTAGTTTCTCTATTTCATTATCGATGTCGTTGATAGAGCTGAGATTATTGTTGATGGAGTTCGAGTGATGGTTAAGAATATTTTCATAAAGTAGCCATTCAGTTTTCTTTTTGGTGATGATTCTGTTTTCTTTGGTATAGCATGTATTTGCTATGACTGGTAGGTGGTCACTGCCAAGTTCGTGCATGACTTCGAGAGTGAAAGGTTGCAGTGAATTTGTTAATAGGATATCACTTGTGTGAGAATGGTACGTTGGCTCTGATGCGGCGTACAGATTAATATTATATTTGTTTATGATGTCATTTAAAATGTGTCCGTTTGCATTATTTTTCCTGCAACCCCATATGGAATTTTTCGAGTTGAGGTCTCCCACAACTATGGAATCAATTTGTGGAGATCTCTGACCACGTCTTCTTCGATAGTGCTTTGGGGGGGATTATAGAAACTTGTGATCTTGATCTGTTTATCGTTTTTTAGATTTACAAGGATTGAGATTTCTTCGTGGAGTGGGGTGTCGCTCTTACTGAATAGAACAGGATTATATGTGTTTTTGGCATATATCGCAACTCCGCCGCCTCTGAATGCGGTTCTGTCACATCTGAAAATTTTGTAGTTTGCGATTTTGCATTTATTTGGCTTGTTAATATGTGTTTCGCTTACTGCCATAATATCTATATCGTGCTCGTAGACAAAGTGTTTTAATTCCTTAAATTTCGAATATAGACCGTTCGCATTCCAGAATGCAATTTTTAAGGGCGTGAAGGTGTTTTTATTGTCTTTGTTCATAAAGTCTTCTGAGGGCTTCCTGATGGTTTTTGTCGAGGCCTAGTAGTACAGTCACCAGTCCTTGGGCCTTTTGCAAGAGGTCTTTAAATTCTGCGATAGTTTCATGTGCTTCCTTAAGCTTTGAGTCGGGTAAATATGAAGTTTCGTGGTTTTCTGCCACGGCGGCGGCATATGATTTGTTTTCGAAAACAGTCCTTTTGATAATTGGTTTATTACTGCTCTTGGCGTGCGATTTTTCAGCAATTGCCACTTAGACCGGACATTTTTTATACGATGCTGTATGTGTTTGGCCGCAATTTGCGCATTTTAGAGGGTCCTCTTGCTTTCTTGAGCAATTTTGGGTTAGGTGGCCCTCGCCGCACTTGACGCATCTGGGGTCATGGTTGCACCCCGTTTGTGTGTGTTAGAACTTCTGGCATCTGTGGCATTGAGTTGGCCCTTTGCCCCTGCCTCTGTAGTTTTCGACTTTTATTTTCATCCTGTCGAGGAATTCTATCTGATATATGCTTTTATTTTGCTCATTTCTCTTAAGTGTAATTAAGAATAGTGGGATATTTATTTTATTCCCTTCTACCCTCTTCGTAAGCTGGGTTACGTTTCCGGGGAAATTTGATGTTCGCTCATGAGGGCTTTTTGAATGTCCCCGGTGTCGGTTTCTTTACGTAGACCTCTAATGACTACTTTGATCATTTTTTCTTCTGGGAGCATAAAAGTGTGGTATTCGATATCTTTGTCTGAGTCTTTTTTCTTAAGATTTTTGAGGTCTCTGATGATTGACCTGTATGTATCTATAGATTTTGGCTTTATGGTCAGTCTTTCGCCGACTCTTTTCCCTTCGTAGTCAGTAATATTCTGGTTTTTCATTCTTTCGTTGAATGTTTTCCATTCGAAGTCCTTGTCTACAATGACAATTGGCGGAATCTTCGAGTGTTTCTTGGGTCCAGTAAAAGGAACTTGATTGTCCAAATTTGTAGTTTCGAGGTTTTCTTCCTCAGATAGCTCGGAGTCATCGATGTCGATTTTCTTTCTCTTGTTGGCGTTATTGGCCTTTGGGGGGGAGGAAAATTTTCAGTTTCCATGCTATTATTTTCGTCTTCTTCATCCAAGATTTGGAATTTGTTATTGCTAGCAAAATTTAGCTTAGCATTTTGTATCGTTTTCCCTACTTTTTTAATTGGGAATGGGGGAGGGGGGGCATTTTTGATTGCCTTATTTTTGTTATCCTTCGGCCTTTTCGTGCCGAGTTCTAATAATCGATCGTTTATGTCTCTATTTTCCTTAGCGATCCTATCCAATCTTATGTTAATCCTCTCATTTTCTGTGATTAGTTTGTTGATATATCCATTTAGGAATCCTATCAGAGTTTTTTGCGATTCGTCGCTTGCCTTTGATTCGAAGTAATTCGTAATTTTATTAGAGTCCTTTCTAAGTTCATTTATATCGCATTCCTTATCGGGGGGTGATTAGTAGAAGTTCTAAGGAATCTGATTCCATTCCTAGTTTAACACTAACTTTTCCTACGGTATTGGAAGCGCCGATCGGAATCGCTGCGGGTAGTTGTTGGCCCTCAGAAGGGCCTTTAGCGGACTCAATTTCCGACACTTCCATACTCGAGGAGCCGGGGAATATTAAGTCTGACGAAATTAAATTAGCGTCTAAATTTGAGACATTATCCGAAATTAAAATTTCCGTATCATTAAAGCTCATGTGGAGTCAAGCAGTATCCTACTGGTCCCACCCAGAAGAAAACCAAACACCTCCTAGCAGCTTCGCTGACACCGGGCAGAACAAGTCTTAGGGTTTCCACTGCTAGTCGGTCAATACTTACCCGAGACGCTGGTCACAAAAAAATTAAAAAAGCATAAAACTCTGGATCAGTAGCAGAAATACTGCAGCGTCCTACTCTCAATTCGGAGCACTGCAGCAATCTGAAGGAAGCGCTGACGCCCTAATGTTAAACTTTGGGCTTCACCTTTTATTTAAACCAAGCACTCGTTTTTTAGACCAAGGTGTTTTCACTGTAACCAATCACTATTTGTAGAAAGAAAAGCAAAGTACTTTAAAGTGTGTAATGAAGGAATTCTTTCATAATGTATATTTTAAAAAAAGAATTATAAGCTCTAAGTTTATTTATCATAAGTTTGTTCTTTTTTTTTTTTTAATATAATCTATAAAGAATTAGATTCTCGTGGGCCCTCTGAGCGCCCAGGGCCCCCGGGCACTGCCCGGTTGTTCCCCTACGTAAAGACTGTACTGATGACGATAAAAAGTGGGAGGGGCCTATAGCCCTCTCTCTACTTCATTTGCACTATGTTGAATATCTCAAATTCGGAAGATTCTAGCTGACTATGTCATCGCAAGAAGTATCTATGGGGAGGCCTCTGATAACTGTACGGATCTTTCGTGGTCTTGGGATCGCTTCTTTCTCGTCGCTGATTGGCTGTTCAGAGGGCGGAGCTTCCAACTCAGAGTCCGTAGCTATCGATGTTGGTTTCTCGTTCAGGATGGGTTTCTTCTTTGCCTTTTTCTTTTTGGGTGGAGGATTTTCATTATTAGTCAAAGGCTCTTATAAAGGAGTTACCATCTGCTGATCAACTATTTCAGTTGTGGTATCAGGTGTTTTCGTTGGAGTAGAGTCTGATTTACCAATTGATTTCAAGAAGGCTTCATAATCACTTCGGCATCATAATCAGGACTGTTAAAATAACTATATATATCAACATCAGTGCGACTTGGGGTCGGCGGTGAAAACCGTTTTCCCCCATGCCCGATTCGAAAAGTATAGACATAATGAAAATAACGTCCTAGTTGAATGAAATCTCTAACTGGATTGAATATCAGAGAAACAAAGTTACTTGTATTTATAGCCTTCTTGGCCTCAAACTTACGTCCAATCAGAATATTCTGATAACATGCGGATGTAGAAGAAAGCTGCTTCAAATGAGTGTGACTACAGTTTTTCCTTAGCATTGAAAAAGAAAAATAATAATTTCGAAAATTTTGGTACCCTTTGAAAAAGTAGGAAAAGACCCCTTTATTTGTACTTTATTAAAAACTTTATTTAAATTATTAATTAAAATATAAATGAGTCGAAAGAATTAATATATTTAAATAAATCAAATATAATGTTAATAAATAATTTAGTTTTTAAAAATTCTATGAAAAATTTTATACGCTTTAAGGAAAAAAGAAATAATGTTCTTTTATTTTTAAATTTTTTGTTGTTGGTAAAACAATGACAACCCATCAAACAATGACAACCCATTACCAATTTCACATACACAGGTAGAAAAGCATAACTTTAGGTATTGTACCGATGAATTAGTTTCCGTAAAGTGGCGCTGTTGTCAACGTCGGCGCGATAGCTCTGAGGATATCTTACCGATAGTCGGTGCAATAGACGCTGCCTAATGTAAATAAACACAGAAATGCGATAATGTAACTGATCGTAAAAGTTTCTCTTTCTTAATTTATTTAGTGATGCATGAAAGTATTTATATTCTTGGTAATTATTCTCATTTATTTTTAATCAAATTCAAAACGAAAAATGGCTAGTGTGAGTGATAAAATAATCAGACTCAATGCTTTCCAAGAAGTCAGTGTAAGTGTGTGCAGCCCATCGGAAATTGTGTCAGTTGAACTTATAGATGGTAGTGCTGAAATTTTTGGTGTTGAAATGATTAAAAATGCAGTGAGAACATTTTCTTCCTCTTTTGCTGTGCATACCAGCAGTGGTTGTTCTTTGAAGTTTATTGGTGCTCCAGCTGGAATTAGAACTCAATCCACTAATTCTGTTATCTATGACATTCACAAAAATCTTCAAGATAGTAGGGAAAGAGCATTTAAGGATGGCAAATTAGGGCCTATAGTGTTATTTACTGGCCCAACTGATGTTGGTAAAAGTACAATTACCCGCTCATTGTTAAACTACGCTGTTCGATGCAATACACAGCCCATATTTATAGATTTAGATGTTGGCCAAAGCTCAATATCGTTACCAGGCACTGTAGGTATATTGCCCGTTGACTGTCCTGGTGATCTTGTCAAAGGATATTGCGAACAGAAACTATCTGTTTACTTTTTTGGTCATAAGAGCCCAGGTTTTAATATGTTACTATACTTTGAGCTCATTAATAAACTAAGTGTCACCATGTATAATCGTTTAGAAGTTTCACCGAAGATTTCTTCATCAGGTACCATTATTGATACGTGTGGTTGGATTACTGGACAAGGTTATTTGGCGATACTTCATGCTGCCAGATCTTTCCAGGTTTCAACAGTATTTGTTATAGAAGATCGAGAACTTTATGCTAATCTTAGACAAGAATTGCCTACAGCCACAGTAACATTTTTAAACAAATTAGATGGTGTTACAGTAAGAAGTAAGGCATTTCGAACTAATAAAAGAAAGGAGCTCATTCAGGAATATTTTTATGGTGCTGACAGAATTTTAAACTCTTATTTATTTGAAATAGAATATCGAGATTTTCGCATAATAAGGATATGTAACACTGTTAATAAAATTAGCCAATATATGTATGATGAACCTCATAAATATCTTGATATTAAAAATGTCCCACTGGATCATTTAATGATCAATCAAATTTTAGCTATCAGTTATGCTAGTACTGTTGAAGAAGTAATTACAACAAGTGTTTTGGGATTTATCTGTGTGAAAGATATAGATTTTGAAAATCGTATATTAAAGGTTTTGTCTCCTCAACCTGGACCTTTGCCAAATAATCTTCTAATCGCAGGTGATATTTTCTATGAAACCTAGTCAAGTTTGATTGTTTAACTTTTTTACAAAATTTGTAATAATTTATTTTTTTAAAAGAACTGACTAGTTTTTAGAAACAATTTCAATAATATTTATGAAGATGCTAACAATTGTCTTTTCTTTTTAAGTTTTTTCATCTTTAATTTTGAATAAAATTAAATACATTAGTACAATTGAGTGACATCATTTTACAACACGTTTTGAAATTATCTCTTTTTCTTTCTTTTTGAATAAATGTCTTGAATACTTAACTATGTCACTCATACGTTGCAATAGCAGCACAACTCAAAAAATCAAGTTTTGAGATAAGTGGATAAGATAAGTTCGAGAGTTTTGAGATAAGTTCATTGCTAAGCAAAATGCTTTAGTTTGCTTATATAAAAATTATCTTCAAGTTGAATTAAGTGTTGTGCTAGTATTGCTGCTACCTGTTACATTTCTTAGTCAAAAACACATGTTTTTTTAGTTGTGCCACTATTGCAGCCCATGAGCAATGTCTTTGTAGTTACAGCTTCAAGCCCTAAAACCACGAATATTTTACACACCAATTTCTGTTTGAATCGAATCAAAAAGCTTTCGGAATGATTTCACATCACTGGAGTTTTTTAAGGGAGAAATATTCAAAGTTTTATTCATGTGAGTGTCGATTAAAATATCTTTGCGTCCAAATCTATCTTCTGACATTTTAATAGCATTATCATAATTTTCAGCCGTTATAGCAAATCCTTCGACAGTCTGAAGCGCTGTTCCTGACAAATAAAATTTCAAATAATTGAATTTGCTAATTTTATTTAATGAATTATTGCTGTGTATGGCTGATTCGAACGAGTTCCAAAACTAAGCCATTGGCTTATCTCTCCATAGAATTTTTGGGTTGATAATTTCGGTAGATTTATTCGAACTTTATCTTGAAACATATTTTCTAAAGTGTTCTTTAAACTTGAATCGGGTGTGGTTTCGTTTCGAGATGTAGATTGTGAGTTTATTTTCTTTTTTGCTCTAAATTTCCATGTAATTATTCTTTCGCGATAATCCATGGCCGAATTAATGTCCGCATCAAGTTCTTTAGGATCCAGAATTTTTTGTAGTTCACTGTCCAAAGTTTGTAATTCAATTGCTAATTCCGTCAACAATTTTAACAACTCTTCTAAACAATCTGAAACAGTTTCTTTTTTAGTTCAGTTTCGATGGTTTTCATTTAATTAGTCGCTGATGTTCTTACAATTCCTCTGCGCTTTTTAAGACGAGCAATTGCGTCGTCAGCCATTGCTTAAGTGTTCTGAATCTGACAAGCTCGTTTTATAAGCAAATACTTTCACTTTCAATTCCTATTCTTTCTCGTTTGCTAACTTATTTTTATTCCTCAAGAAAGGCCAGATCCCAGCAGGGATGCCATTAAATGTAAAATAACCTCTCTTCTTCTCAAACTAATAATAATATTAAGGTAAAAAAGCTTACCTTTCTATAGTTCGTAATTTTCCGGGTTTGACCTAATAACTTCTTGAGGCCGTCTTTCTTCTAATAAGCAATGAAATTCAATAAAACTGAAATAGTTAACATAAAGAATAGGAGTTTAATTAGTTAAAAAAAAGACTATTTACAGAAAAAGTTACAGAGGAAAATGCATAATGAATTTGAATCGGAGCGGTTGCTCTCTTCGACTTCTCCTCGCCTGAATAAATATAGAACTGTTCTAAGCGTAAAGAGTTACGGTTACATTTTATTACTGCTTCGGTGGATCTCCGATTGAGGGAGTGACTAGTTCGTAACATATATGTTGCAAGACAGATGTTCAGCTCCCTTGTCTTTAAATTGGTGATAGTCAACAAATGAACCTAAATTTACTTTTTGTAGAATTTTCACAAATACTTGCAACATTCTTAAAATTTATCAGACTTTAACTAAAGTTCATTCTCTTAGTTTTATTCAATGTCTATAGGATTCTTAGATAAAGGCAATCATCTTATGTTTATTTTTATGTGCTATTGTTATTTTAAATATTCGTTGTGTTATAACAGTGACTTATATCTTATTTTATTCCCATTAGAAACTCAACTTAACCTTATCTTAATTCCATTTGAAAGTACAATAAAAAGTCCTATGCATACCTGCCAACTCTTTTTTTATTCTCTTTTCTCCAACTCTTTTTCAAAGATTTTATTTTCATATTTAAAGTGATAGCAATACTCGGGTTATTCCAATTAACTTTTTGAATTATAATGATAATTATAAATGAGTTTGATCACTACTACATATAAATAAATGAAAGCATAATAATCCTTGCGCAAGCGAATTTCAACAGGATCAAAATATAAATATATTTTTGAGTCAGATTGTTTTTGTTTATTGTTTTACAACCACTCTGAAAATCCATTTTCGGAAAGAGTGGAAGTTGGCAGGTATGCCTATGTCTGGAATTATTCTGATTTCAGCGAGTACAGAAAATAGATTTTTCTTCATAACAGGCTTAAAGATAAACATCAAAACATTCGTTATTCAATAAATAAAAAATAGACAATAATGATAATTAATGTCAATTTCATACAAAAATGTTTTCAAAAAACTGTGCAAAATTTCTGAGGCTTGGTGTCCAAATGTCCAAGAATCGAGAAGTTAATCAGTTTCGAAATTACCAACCGGAAAAGATGCTGCCCCATGCCATGCAGTTATCACCAAATTAAAACTTGAGATTGTAATAGATTAGTGTGTCAATATTAAAGCGAGCAAGAAACCATTCGTAAATATTTCCCCCAACAATCACTTATTTTGGTATTAAGTTAATTTTTACCATTGAGTTGTGGGATTTCAAAACATATAAAACTCCAATTATAGATGTTATTGATTTAAAAAGTAATTTCAGGCAAGTATTAGTGGAAATTGTCAAGCAATTTTTAATCTTCATTCAAAAGCCAGAGATAGAGTTTACGCCGAAGGATTTTTACTAAACAAATATTTTACAGAATATAAGACATCTAACATTACACACCTTGCAGCGATATTCTTAAAGCCGAAATTTATTTCTGGTTATGTCTGTGAATCAAGAAAATGTTGCTGCTATTTCTTTTGTGAAATTCAGTCTGCCATTCACCAATAGCCATGCTGCTAGTCTCTTTCATCATACCATGAGATTCGGTTCTCCATTCAGCAATAGTCATGCCGCTAGTCCCTTTCTTACTGGGAAATTCAGTCCTTCGTTCAGCAATAGTCACGCTGCTAGTCCCTTACTGTGAAACTCAGTCCCCTGTTCAGCAATAGTCACGCTGCAATTAAATATTAACTATAATTATTAGGCCATAAACCACTTACATTAGTGAATGAATGCATTCAAAGGAATATTTTATTTTTAAAAAATGAAATTCTCAGTCTAAAATGCATTGTAAGGATTTCCTACCACCACTAAATTAAACTATTTTGGTTAGATAGAGAAAGCTGTTTACAGAATGTTTTATCAATCAGATTGTTTCTAAATTTAAGATTCATTTTATAATCTGCGAAAAAAAAATTAAAGGGAATTTTATGAAACGATTTTTTGATCCACATAAGTTACTCTTTATAATATAAAGTCTAAGCAAACAATGACACGTTATTATTCTTATTGACCAGAAAATTCACAAGTGCAAGAAAAATATGTATAAGTTTTAAAATTTTCTCAATCAAATAAAAAATCTTGTTTCTTTAAAAAACTTTTTAAAAGTCACAGAATAGAATTTATAATTCACCATAACGCCTTTAAAAGTGTAGAAGTTGTAAGGAAAAAAAATTTCAATAAAATAAAGATTAAGATTAGTATTTAAACTGTATAGTTTTTAATTAAAAATTTAAAAGTACATTTTATTTCATGATATTGATTGCCTTGTTTATTGAGTTTCAATTAAAGGCTCTTGAAGAGAATCAGTTTAGACTAATATCCCATTCCTCATTTGTAGAAAATAGTTGGCAAGCCAATTTTCTTAAAATATACCGAGATAATTGTATTGTTTTTCCATTTGCATGGCAGTATTCTCGTGTAAAATAAGAAACTACCATTAACCATCAGTACTGTCAATTTCAATAAAATTATTATGCTTTTGATATTGCGGGGCATAATAAATGTCACGTCCCGAAACCAACTACTTACAAAAGTTGCGTTTTTGTGGACTTGTAGAGAAATCGAGCATTATTAGCAGGGCAAGTAGTGGCCCTTTGCTCCGAGAGGCATAGTCCTAGACTCTTGAATAAAAAATTATGAAGCATTAAATTCAAAAGCTCTCTTAAATTCGCCTCATATTATCGCATTGTGTCTTACGCATTTTTTTCAACAATTTAACTAGTTTCTATCAGTAACCTTTGCTGAAATGAATTTAAAAATTTAGTAATTCTTTGGTTTTTGTAAAATTTATAGAACCATTTATCCTGCTTGTCTATACATTTTGCTTATAGTAGTGAGAAAAAACATTAAACTATGATTTCCGGAAAGCACAGCAGAGCTGCAATTTAAAACTTGAATGTCAATCAGAAAGCTGCCGGAATTTACAAATAATCTTTGAGCCATTATATTGGCGACTGTTATAATCAGAAAACTATTGAACAGATCAAACTCTTAAATGGGTCTCAAAAGGGTTGAAGTTTCAATTGTAAGATTCCAACTCCTGTAAACATGAAAGCAAGTTAAGAGAAACTGAAAAAGTGATATCATTAACAAAGTGCTGCTTTGTATTAGCTATTTTGATTAAAAGTACTTAAAGTATCGTTATTCAGGATAGCACCTTTACCATCAGTGAAGTTTTCTATTGTTTCAAAACATTTTGCATGTCAAATAAGGAATCGGAACTCTGCAACAAATAGAACTTCATGAAAACATTAATATTGTGTAAATTTTTTTTTTTTAATGTCATCTAGATGCTTGAAAATAAGTAATATAAAGTTTAAATATGACTGTTACTTGATAATATCGTTAAACTGCAGCAATAATTAAGTTACATTACTGTATTTAAGGTGTTTTGAATAATCAATTTAGTGTTTTGATGCAAGTCCAAAAGCAACTTACAAGAAATTGATTAAAGTTATTTAAATTAATTTATCAAAATCCTGGTTCATGAGGCTTAAAAATTTAGTGAAACTTGTTTCATTTGAAATTTAAATATGTTTTTTTGGAGTTACTAAGACTTTTTTAACGGTTCGAAGCTGAAGATATTTGAATAATCACTTCATACAAAAATTGCTGACATATAAGAATGTAAGTAAACTTACCTGTTAAAACTGAGCAAACAACAGAAGGTCTTTCCTACGAATTCGACTTTGTATAAACTTAAATGTATGGTTCAAGAACGAGCGATCATCATCGAAATTTATCTGGGTGCCTGAGACCTTTGGTCGCCCTTTTCCCATCCATCATGAAATATTATCTTTAAGGTGGCTCTTTCTGGTAATTGGAGTGGAGAAAAAAAATTAAATATTTTGTATATTAGATAAAGTTGCGTCTTTACAAAAATTAAAAAATAGTAAAAATTTCATTAAATTCTGCAGTGTCATAATTAATAGTCTTTTCAAAAAATTTGGAATTTAGCTTTGCGATATGATAACCTAAAAAATCTATGTTTAGATCGCGATGTATGTTCTTATTTCGGATAAACCCTCTTGCTTGTGTTATTTTTCGGAGTATTTTATTCTGGCATCTTTTGAGTTTCTGGAAGGAGTCATGTGGTCTTCATGACTCCTCGAGCTCCACATGATGTGGAGATGTTACACCAAGCTGAAGATGTATAAGTTAGGTTAGCACGGATCATTGAGATGTAGAGTAAGCGTTTGATTCTGAGTTCTTTTTTAGTGTTCGGAGGAGAGATGTGTGACAGGCTACTTGTGCTTTGCTTCTAACTGCTTTGACATGATCTTTCCAATTAAATTTACTATTTATGACTAAACCAAATCGGACATACCAGACTGACTCACCTACATTTGTTATTTGGGGAACCTCCTTCCCAATGCAACACTTGTGATGTCTTACTTACGATTCATGACATTTTAATCATGTGCCTGAGTTTTAACCAACATCGTCATACATTTTTTATTACATAATATAAATTCGTATATGAAACTTTTTTTCGCAATTGTCCTATCACTCAAGAAACACTTTTCGTAGCATTGTAACGCCACAGTCAAATGCAACGAATTCTTTCTATGTATTTAAAAAACTAATAATAAAGAAATAATAATTGTATGTTATGGCTAACAAGATTTTTGAATGTCGTGAAAAGTTTCGAGACTCTTAATACACTATTTAATCTGTGAAACTATTCTGCGATTTTTAACGTAGAAGAAGGAAGTAAATTCGGCAGGGCCGGATTACCCATTACGCCATAACCTAGGGCTCCCTTAAAATGAATTTTTTGAAAATAAATTTTAAAAAATTAAGAAAAACAATGATTTTTCAAAATGTTATGATTTTTTTTTAGTTCTAATTTAATAAAATAAAGTAAAATTTAATTTATTATTATTTATTTTAATTTTAAATATGCTTTCTTAAATGAAAAGATGTATAAAAACTTTTATATTTGAATAAATAAAAAATATACGAAATAAAAATTTGATCTAAGGGCCCCAAAAATTTGAAGGGCCTAAGCCCCGCGTTCTGTCTTGATTTTCATATAGATTAAAATCTTCTAAGTTGGGAAACTATACGGAACTGAAAACTACAATTAACATAGATCTAAAAGAAAGCATCATGGAAATTTAAAAAAATATTTTTATTATTTAAAAACAAAAAATATTAAGAAAAGGAAAAATATCTTAGTACATTCCTATACAACTGAGAGGAAGAGGAGAGGAAAGGGAGAAGGGCTTCCGAGTAAATCGATCAAAGTAAAAGTTGAAGTGTTACCTTATCGTATGTCTGGTTCAGAGGGGGTTAAAATAACCGCTAACTGTAACCGATCTACATTGAAAATAAACAAATAAAAATTTGAACGTGCTGTAAGCTTTCCAATTTCTTGTTATTTTTTTTAAAATTATTATTTTATATATTTCAAAACGAAAATTTTCAATGTTGCTTAGTATGAGTTCACATTTAAGCAATTTTAATATATATAAAAAAAAATGTAACCTGGAAATTTAAATTGATACAGCTAGTTCCATCCAATTTAAAATACCACAGTGACATCAAACCATAAGAAATTTCTAAAATAATTTGTATTTTTGCCCTTAATCAGCAATAATTTTCATATGTGTCTAGTATTTACAGTAGATCTTCCATGTAGGATCACTATATTTATTTTGTTTCAAGTGATTACAATGCCCGTTTGAAAAGATATTTTCTTCCTTTTTTTAAAAACAATTATCAATTTTATCTTTTTTTATTTTACGAGTACTCTTATTTTTTCTTTCCTTGTCAAAGGAAACTGTGATAATGACATTGATATATATCTTTTTTGCCATGTCAATTTTTTTGCAGAGTATATTAATCTGACAAATATATTAATATTAATCTTGCAAATGTATATTAATCTGACTTGACGCAGTTAAATAAATGCAGGGAATTTTCCCTTTTCACATTTTTTAAGTCAATTAAATGTATTGTAATTTTCTGTTTAAAGGCAATATGTATCGGAATATTAGTGGTTGATTCAACACCAAATCAACCAATGATCAAAATTTCAAGTCTTTATTTAGTTTTTGTAGCTCATGCTAGTTAGTAGAATGCAGAATGGATGAAAAATATTGGAGTTCAGATTTGAGCCATTGTTTCCGAATTAATATTTTTTAGCAATTTTAATTGTTAAGCAACTAATTGAACAATTTGAGTTGGAAGGCTAAATTTTAGACCAGATTCAGTATTCAAATGCCATTTATTAAATATATAACACATCTAAGTTATTAAAAAGTATTTTTTTCTAAAAAATATATATTTAATCTTTTTTTCAGAATAATTTGTGAATGTTAGTTCAAAATTGCGTATGTGCGAATCTTGATAAACAATGTGACATACATATATTGTAATTATATGATTTATGCACTCATTAGACTAAGAAATATATTTTCATTTTATGGTCTGATAGGAATTCCATCTTAAAATTAAACATAAATATTGATAAAAAAGTTAAATGAAAAATTTTTTAGAAAATAAGTTAATTATTTTTCAAAAATTTTTATTTTTTCCCTCAAATTAACATATTTTTGAAAAATATTTGTAATTGGCACCTATGTTATAATAGTTTCCAAGATTTGGAGATAACCTGTCAGTATGTATAACCTGTGAGAGTTACTAAACACAACACAGTGGGGGACCAACATAACTACTTCCAAGCAAACCATAGCATTTTTTTTTTTAACATTTTAGAAAGTACAAAAACGATTGTGGCATCTTGACAATGGTAGTCATTGTAAATAGGCACTGATAGAAATATCCCTATCTGTTTCAGTATTTTAATCAATTAAAATTTTTTAAAATTGTTTAATTATGTATTTTATTTTTATCAAAACGTATTGAAGAAATTACTCAGCTATAAAGTTACTTTGTATGGTTTTTATATATATATGAGTGTTTATTGTTAATTCAATATATCTTTTTGAGTATTGTTTTAATTTTTTAGGCGGTATGATACATTATAAATTGTGTTATGGCTAGTTATTCTTTTGTTTCTAAGATGTGTTATGGAGTTGCTGGTTGTTGCCTTGCTGGAAGTGTTTTTTATACAATAAAACAAGACGATTTGGCAATGAGAGAAACTAGTGAAGCAAAGAATGTTTGGAAATGGAATTCTAATTGGGATAAGTAAGCTGTATTGCATATAATATTTTACATGGAATTTTTCTTTTAATATTTTTTGTGAAATCTGTCATTTTGTGTTCAGTTCTATGTATTGGGGCATTTACAGTAAAATGTATAATTTTCTATCGTGGAATTTTTTTTAAAAAAAAAATATGCCTGCCATCATCTTCTCAAACAAGGCGTCTTGCAATCCAATACAATAGTGAAGTAGCTCCAGAAAGGGAGAGGGCGCGAAAGTCGTCACAGGAACGAATGTCAGGAAGAGGGGAAATCAAATAGATGCTCCCCAGTCATAGGCGAAGTGTTACAGAGTACACAAATAGGTGAATTGACCAGGTTAATTTTAAATAGTTGGGCCTGCAAGTAGTCATGTCCAGTAATTATTCTAAGACAAGCAACTCCATCGGTCCTGGGAAGTAAGGAAAGAGGAGAGCACTGCTGGCCATCAAGAAGGCTAGCCCAGGATTTTCCATCAGCTAAGTCCCTAAGAGCAGCATTGCTCTCGTGAAATCTTGATCCAGCATCTTTTGTTTTCTGATATGTATTGTCTTGTGTTATCGATTCTATCACAAATGCTATTCTTGTGAAATTAATAATACTTGTTTGGATCGTTTTTGAAACTAGAAAAGTCTTGCATCGATTTTTAAAAATTCTATCAACTTTTTCTTTTTTAGAAAAAAGAAACAGTAACTTTTGTTAATGATGAAAAAAAAGATGTAGTTGAAGGAAAATGTTTCCAGCGACCAGTGTTGTAAATAAACCTGCGTTTTTTAGGAGTTTTTTTAAAAACTAATTTGAGTATTTATCATTAATTTCATTCTTTATTGTAATAAGCCTTTCTGTATTAACAGAGACCATTGATTTTATAAATTATTACGTTATTTATTTCCATAATTATTAATTCATGTTATTATCAATTCATTTTGCATTGATAAATTAGCTACAAAATTTTTAATGATAGTAATAGGGTTCAATTACCTTTGTAAGATTAAGGCTATTCTGTTTTGGAATAATGTAAATCAACTAAATGTTTTAATGAATAAATGACTTATTTATTTTAATTCAAATGGAAGACTTCAATTTTTAAACATGAAAAATATATTTATGCAACGATGCATTGCATTACTTTTCCAACTATGGTTGTTGTGTCCTATGTTATGTACAGTTCTGGAATAAGCTTTGGTGTTTCAACAACAAGGAATACAACAGCACAAGAATTTTAGAATAAGTATATCACTAGTTGAAAAGTTCTATATTTTAAAAGTTGTTTTCAAACTGTATTTAATAAGACTCACAGGTTTGGAAAATAGTGTTTAAAATTTATTTTCGTAAATAAATTATTTTCCTATTTCATCATGAGCCAAATTAGCAAGGTTACAAAAATTTGTTGCATTCATATTCCGGCGTATAACGTGCACTTTTAATACAAAAAATAACATTGGAATTACGGGTGCGTGGTATACGCCGAATATAAAAAATTATAGACTAAGAAAAATTAAATGTAGAAAAATACTTTTTTATTTAAAAAAAATAACATACTCTTACCTATATACTTCATTGATTTTCGTTGTTACATAAATAGTTCATTATATTCGTCTTCCGTTATTTCTTCAGGCACATCATCACAATCTGTTTCGTCTTCATCTGTGTTACCCTCATCTTCTGATCCGTCCAGATTATTTGAAATGCTGAATTTTTTGAATGATTTTCTAACCACCTCAGGCTTAATTTCATCCCATGCTTTTAATATCCATTCGCACGCTGTTTCCAAACTTGCATGATGCATATGTCTTCCTTTCGTAAAGGTTTTCTTGCCCTCCAAGATCCAAGTGTTCCACTGTTTTTCTTAAATTGACTTTAAATGGTTTGTTTAAGCTGACGTCCAATGGCTGAACTAATGGTGTCAATCTGCACGGAATAACTGCCATTTCGGGTGTTACACTCTTTCAACAATTTTTTTGTATTATCTCTGTAAGGTGGGACCTAAACATGTCCCACACTAAAAGGCTCTTACGCAACCAGGGCGGATTTTCCAGAAATTTTTTACCCACAATTTAACACCATATTCGTCCATCCAGCCTTTTTCGTGGACATGAACAAAAATAAATTTTGGAAAATTACATTTGGGAAAAGTTTTTCTTTTAAAAATAACCATTGGTTTTAGTTTTGTTCTATCCGCTAAGCAGGAATGGGCTACCGTGAAATGAGATTACTCATGTCCCGTTGTTTTTACGTTGACAGAGTTTACTCCCTTTAAATTTTTTTATTACCAATCATTACTGGGATCTCATCCATATTTCCTTTTTGCGAAAGTAAATATTCCTTTTTTTTCTCGCAATTCTATAATATATTTTTGAAAACTTAACAATTTGCTATCCAAGTCTTCGTAGTTTTTGTGATACTTTGGTTTTTTCACGTAGAACTAAATTTTTTCGAGCCATAAGTCGGCTTCACCAACTCACGGTAGCCTTGAAATTTTCACTCTCATGTGGGTTAATCTTTGCCTATTTTAGAGCAAGCAAGCGAACACAGTTTCTTGTTACAATCAAGCCATGTTGCCGATTTTCCCAAACCTAGTTTTCTACATTGTCCTCTAACACTGGCCATTTTGTTAGTCCTGTACCCAATGCACACTTATCCTTAGGCATATCCATTATTTTCTCTTCATATTTCTTCCATTCACGCACCGAGCTTTCCCCAATACCAAAATGTCTCGCCGCAGCCCGATTTCCATTTTCTTTCGCAAATTGAATTACTTTGCATTTAAATCCAGCCCTGTGTTTGCTTCGTTTTATAGGAGCCATGTCTACTACTAAAAACTGCACTGAATTCTTAAAGCTTACAATGTTTACTTTTCAAAGGCAGAGCATCAAATGGTGCGATTGGCAGAAGAGGAATTACGTTTTGTCTCCTGATTTGTGGAATGCTTTTGAGACATACACAATAGACAGCATTCCAGATACCCCTCCCCCCTTACTTCTGGAATGTGGAGAACAACATTCTTGCACACACCTGCACTGCTGAATACAACAATCTCTTTTCTCAGAATTACATTATTACTCTTTCAACTCTACCTTCACACACATGTCAAATTCAATTCTTTTATTTTTGCAAAAGATAGGGGAAAAAAAAACTTTTTATTTACGATCTTGAAAGATGAGATATTGCACATGTGCAATCCAAATTTTCGTGCGCGTTATACAAAGAGTATATCTTAAAATTGAAAGAAAGTATTGGAAAATTACGGGTGCACGTTATACGTCGGAATATACGGCTCATTTTTGATTTGAAAGAAACAGTCCCAAAAGGAAGAACGCTTATCTTATGTTACATTTGAGACTTTTTCCTGAGTTCAACTAGGAAAATCTCCTTCTCCGAACAGCAAAGTGATTTTCTCTGAATTTCATTTACTTCTACCAAAAAAAGATTTAAAAAATTGATTTTGAACTGCTGATATGAAGTTGTAGCAATCATATAACTGTCATCGTTTACCAAAGAGCAAAAATTCCAAATTTTGTATAATAACATCTTTAATAGTTCCAACACTAAAAACTTTTCTTCTTTAGAGAGATATAGTTTCATGGTCTTAATCATGAGTAATATTACTGAAATTAGACATTTTGTTAAACCCACATTAAAAAATTTAGGAGTTTTTCTGTAAGTATCCACTGATTTATAAGTTATTTATTTCACTTTTCAGTGGTACATATGGAACCGGCATGCTTCTGTTCATTCAAGCTTTCTAACATATAAAATGTGCTGTTCCATTGTGTTGATACATCTTGAATAAATTTGTAACTTGTGATAAATGAATTGCTGAAGTGACAGTCTTTTTAATTGTTGCAATGAGATCATTTATTAACTTATGTGAAGTTAAATATGTACCTTTTGCTATAAAACCTTATGTTCAATTCAATATGAAGATAAAATATCTGGTACTACTTAATAAAAGTAAAAAATACCACTCTGACCATTATTTGCTATATTAAATTATATAATATTTGCTATAAATAATCCTTTAACCATATTACTCCCCCATATCTTATAACAAGCTGGCTTAATACTACATGATGACGGTGAATAAAATCATAACTTATCCAATGACCTGTCATGCTTACAAAGCTATGATTATTTACAGAGTCTCCAATTCCAATGTCCGAGAGATTTCCAATGTCTGAAGTTAGAGAGAAATTTCCAATACAGTTGCTGCCGTTTACTTTGCTTTGTTATTTTAATTTAAATCATTTTTAACTTTTAAATTTTCAAATTAAAATATTTAATTAGTTTATATTACTAAATAAAATATTTATTATTTAATTCAATTCTGTGAGCATTGCAGTTTCTTTATTGTAAGAATTTGTTTTCGTAAACTTTTGTTTTATATTATCTGATTAAAAAGTTATGTTTTGATATTTGCAAGCATATCACTAAATTGACTGATACTGCTTAGAACACCAATGTTTATATAAAAATTATAATATTTGCTATCAGCATTTTTAATTATGCAAATGTGCATGCGACTATTTGTTGGTTAACCTTCTGTGCCAGTTGTCCTTTACTCAAAACTGTGCACCCTTAATACTCCTTCATCTGTTAAGAGATTAAAGATTTGTACTATGTTTTTACTGCTTCTAAATGTAAAGCCAAGTATTTAAGGTTACTTAATTTTTTAGTTTAAGTTAATTCTTGAGTATTCTTTTTTATTTTAAATTTCAATCATTTTTTAGACGTGAACCTCATTGTTTGATGAAACCTAAGAAAAGATCTAAGCAGCGTGAGGATGAAAAGTTATGCACGCTGACTGCTACAGCTACAAGACACATTTTATTGATACGCCATGGACAGTATGACACAAAAGCTCCTTCGGATAAAGAAATGAAGCTAACATATCTAGGTAATAATTTATCATTATACAGTATAGGACCCCAAATCCGGTACTCGTTGGACCGACGTAATTCTGTATTTCGGAATCTGCCGAATTTCGGATCTCTTTCGGAAATTCCAATATGGCGCCCATATATTATTAAATATGCCAAATGCATGTACTTACCTTTGAATATTCACTATTTTAACGATTAATGATATAAATTTAATAGGACAAAATAAATAAATACTTGTTTTTTTAAATGCAATTACTTTTTATTAATGGATTTAAACATATTACTAACTTTTAATTGTTTTAAATGTTTAGGTTGTTCTTTTAACAAAATTTCCTGAATTTTATATACAGATAAAATGTCATGTTTTTTAAATTAATTCTTTGCTTAACTCTATCATATGTTCAATTGAAATTTTTTCAGTCTCCTCACTATTTTCGTTTTCAGAATCTTCCTCGCTATTTTCTTTGTCGAGAGCTACGTTAATAATTTCTTCGTCTGTCAATTGCAAGGTAATTAGCGTGTTTTCATCAGTTGATAGACAGTCTTCAATTATGTTCTTATCTAGAACATTTTCCATTTTGCTTGAATTGGCATAATCTAAAAGTTCTTGTATCATTTAATTTTTGCTTGAAATCCGAAATTCCTCAAATTCTTGTGTGTTGCTTTCGCCGTCAATGAAAATTGAAGAGGGCCACAATCGATGCCACGCATTGATTAGGGTTTCTTGTTTTACTGAATGTCATGCATTTGCAATGATCCATAAAGCATCTTTTATGTTGAAACTTTTTTGAAAAGTTTGGATGGTACCGCCAGAATTGCAGTTGTTGAGGCAGTTTCGGATGAAATCCCCTTTATAGAAACATTTTAAGGAATTCAAAATTCCTTATTCCATGGGTTGTATTAAAGATGTGCAGTTCGGGGGTAAAAATATGATCCGTACGTTATCCTTTTCAAGCATCTCAGCGCTTGGTTGAGCTGTACAATTGTCCAACACCAGCAATATTTTGGAATCATCTGGTAAACCTACAGATTTACAGTGAGATTTGGCTGCAGGGAGAAAGTGATCATCAAACCAGTTCGTAAAAATATCCTGGATCATCCAGGCACGTTTGTTGCTCTTATATATAATATCTTGGTATTTTTTAGGGCCCTAGGATTTTTTTTACACTTTTACCCCCCACTGGCAATTTAGACTTGTGTGTACCAATCACATTGTTACGTCCAAGAACAGTAATTCGTTCTTTGCAATCTTTCACTCTAGAAGGGGCACTTTCTTCTGGTGCAACATACGTTTTCCTCGAAATGTATTTCCAGAACAACCCAGTTTCGTCGCAATTATAGACTAAATCTGGAGTACCTTTCTTCAGACATAATGTTCGTAAATTCCTCTACAAACAATTCTGCGTTTTGAATATCTGCAGATGCTTTATCACCCAAAATTCTTAAAATTTTAAGTCCATGTCGCTTCTTAAATTTATTAAACCATCGCGAAGAATAATCACATCCAGTTTCCAGTTCTAAGAGTTTATGAAACTCCTTTGCTTGTTCCATTATTATTGTCTGATTTAAAGGAATCCTTTCTGCATGCCTTTGCCTTATCCATCCCATTAAAACTTCATCCAAATCTTTATTTTTGAAACAATGCAAAGTTTTTCAGTCTTTTATAAGTTTAGATGAATCACTTTTTGCATAAAAATCCAAAATTTCAGCCTTTTGTTCTTTTAAGTCTTAAATCGTTGAGCTTCCAACGCCATATTCTTCACAAAGCATTTTAACTGGTGTTCCACTGTCTAACTTTTTTAACACTTCCACTTTCTGCAACAAACTAAGTAACAATTGTTTCTTCCTTGGAGCGAGATCATCATCTAAGTCAATATTAAGCATTTTCTAATTTCAATTTGAAGTAATCATTAAAATATGAATTAAATGATCAATGTAACAAAAAACATTAAAATAAGTATTAAAATTGTTAAAAATAAAACAATCGTACTTTTAAATCAGCATTAAGCGATAAATCTAAACAAATTTTGTGCAAAGAAAAACTTAAATTTATTCAGAAAGCACATATAATCATATATCCAGATATCACATATAAATCCAACGGTTAGAAATCTGAGCTCTCTGTATCGGAGCAAAATAAGTTTCTTAGTTCATTGTTTATTGCCGGGTCATCCCTGTCACTAACACTTTCATCACTTTCGGTTTCATTCCCCCCGGATATGAGTTCAGGTTTCTTGAAACCATTTATTACGGTTTCTTTTTTCACAGCTTTCCACGCTTGTGACACCCATGCGGTGACCTCCTCATAATTTGCCCGCCGCATGTGTCCAAGTTTAGTGTAGGAGTGGATGCCACGCTCTATCCAGTTCTCCCCCCACAGCCGCCTCACTTCTTGTTTGAAAACCCCATTGACAGTAAGGTCAAGAGGTTGCAGTACCTTTGTTAGGCCGTCGGGGATAATAGCAAGTTCCGTGGACAATTTTTTTTGTGCACAAATCTTTGATAGAGTCCACTTTATGGGAGCGCAGCAAGTCGAGTATCAATAATCCGTGTGGCTGGAAAAAAGCACCTTTCCTCTGATATACCAAATCCAACCACTGCAGCATCATATCCTCGCGCATCCACCCCTTTTCGTTGGCTCTAATTATCACGTTTTGAGGAAAATTACCTTTCAGTATGGTTTTTCCTTTTGAAGATCAACAACGGGGAAGCTTCTTCCCCGTTGTGGAATACCCAAGCACACAGGTGAAGGACATTTTTTCGTGGCCAGTGGTTACTATGACCACGGACTTAGTTCCCATTTCTACCACAATCCTGTTTGGAGGGCAGTCAAAGGAAAGCGGAACCTCATCCATATTTATCATTTGTCTGTGATTAAGTCCACGTTCCTCCATCTTTTTCGATACAAAAGTTAAAAAAGAAGCCTTTTTTTTCAATCCAATCAGTAGGCAATCGTTGACCTACTGTGGCTTTTTGCCTCACAGACAAGTTCTTTCTCTTCATGAATCGGAGGCACAAATTCGAGCCTCCTTTAAAATCTGGAATTCCCATCTGGGAAGCAATTCATTTCGCTTGCATGCGAATTCGAACAGTAGAGAGGGACAACCCTTTGTCCCTCTGTTCCTTTACCCATGCCGCCAGGTTATCCTTCAGCACTGGCCACCCAACAGTGCCATTGCGCCGAAGCACACTTAGTCTTGGGTAGTGTAGACAATATACCCTTTTCTGACTTCCTCCGGATGCACCGTTCATCGACATCCTCGAGCAGCACCCCGATTTCCAATTTCTTCAGCTCTTTTAATTGCCGAGACCTTAAACGCACCCGTATAAATTTTCCTCTTAATGGGAGGCATTTGAAATATATTAAAACATTTAAAACACATTTCTATATTCCCCTTTTCCTCCCCCTACTTTCTCTTCTCAAATTAGACCTCCGAAAACAGCTCTTTTTTATTTACTGACTCCGCCTAGGAGAGTGCAAAATTCTCTCACATTGCTTCTTCTTCACTGACCTTCAGTTGAATGTTAGAAATTCTTCTTGAACAATTTAATTATAAGAATATTCTACGTCGTCTCAAGCTCATTGCACCATTCATTCAGCAAGCATTCACATGTTTTTAACAAGCTGTTGAAAAAAAGGGGGAGTGGATGCTTACTGATAAAAACCATAACCAGTGGAAGAGACATAATTCCTGGAAAAAAACTGGCAGGGGAACGTTTGATTCACAGTGAATGTCATCACTGGCACCACCCTGATTTTCTTTATTCGTTCCTTTCTGATTTATTCTTCTCCACTCCATGCCTGTCCCCTGCACTCAACAGCTGTTCCTATGGCAGAAGGGAAAGAGAAACTTTTGTTCTCTATTTCAGATAGCGGTTTCCACAATGTGATTCTAAGAAACATGGGGATGGGGAAATTCCATATGCATTGACCATTCTTTGGAGTAACATTAAGGATGAAAAAATTAATAAAAAGCACCAGTCAGGTGGAAAAAATGATGATGAAATTTCCAGTGGGGCTTCTAAAAGGCAAAATTTTCTATAACAATGCTATATATATATAAAAAAAGGAATGCTGTGTAGGCCGCCCCGTTAGATACACTTTCCTTTTAAATTTTCAAGTTTTAAATCAATAATGCCGTGGCGTGTCTCCGCAAAATTACAGTAGTTTAATTACAATGTAGTTTCATCTGGTGAACTCTTTGAAACTATCCTGTGTTCAAGAAATAAGACTTGACAGTAAACAGCTAAAGAAAACATTTATTAGATTAAACAATCATTTCACATGCCCAGCGTGCTCTCGTTCGATACAGCTAGCAGTTGAAGAAAATACGTGGAAGAAAAGCAATTATCGCATCCATGTCGTCATTTTTATATTCTGAAGATCTGCACCACTTCAGTTCGCTTCACCTATAGTAATCGCTACCGCAGCGACGCCACATACAGCCTAATAGTGTATGCATTATATATATATATATAAACTTATTGGAAATTATGGAAAAAGAATTACATTGAATAAAATTATTTTTCAAAGATGCTTTAGTAGCACCTTTTGAGTAGCACCTTTTGTTTTCATTAAAAATTCTTTCAAAAAATCTCTTTCATAACAATGTCTACCTTCTTTAGATTTATTTATTAACAGTGTTTAGAAAGTCTCATCAGACATCCATGAGCAGAACTGGGTCTATTTATTTGCAGAAGTTTATTTTTTTACTGGGTTTATTTTTTTGTCACTTCAGCATTCTTCAATATCTCATCATTTAGAGGAAATCTCTTTACAATATATTCACACAAAGCTATAAAAAACTTCCTGACTTAGGCATACAATTCTTTTCTTTCCTCAATTGGTAACGATTCCAATATACTTAATGTGCGATTGGCCACACGTAGATCACCACCTTTTTTTTTTTTTTGGGACAGTAGGATTCTGAAAAGGGACTTTAATCAACTCAAAATTTTTTAAACCATTACCATCAATAAAGTAAAGAAATATGGTTTTCAATAGATTTGTAAA